AGAATTCAACTACTGTTAGGATAGATTATTCTCCACTCGAATTCAAAGGGCTCTCATTTAATAACTAATAACCTACATTAGTTTTCTTTTATAATTTTAAACTGTTTAAGTAAGAATATTTTTACGAATTAAAATTTCACACAGAGTTAGTTACTATTTTACATTAGACAAACGTTTCTCATTTTATATAAAACACAAGGCACTTTTAATTCTCAATTCAATGTCGAAGATATTTATTTATTTATTTATTTCAAATGGCAGGCATTATGATAGGTATCATTAGCCCTTTAGTTGACTTCGGGCTACACAGAGGGGAGGAGGAACATCCAACTGGTAAAAAGTCGAGAGGGGGAAGAATAATGATTCACAGACGTAAAAGAGACAGACGGACACAAAGGTAGAGAAAAAGGTGAGGTGAATACTGTGGAATTATTCAAATATGAAATTCAATAGGGTCATGGTAGTTTGAAGTCCGAAGTCAACTGCCGATTTATAGACTTTTTTTGCCGTATGAGTATACGTTGCCCAGGGTGCACCACGTGGAGGTAAGTCTATCGCACACCCCATGTCGAAGATATACTCAAATTGAAAAGAAATTAGATCCAAGTAGATCGATAGAATTTAAATTTCATACTTTAATACATATGCAATTTCTTATAAACCTATATGAACCCACATTTGATTGCATTATCCAATAGAGGAATACGATATATTCCATCGTTTATCCCGTGGTTAGAATATATTTGATAAATCTCCCATGAAGATTGACCTTGCCCAGTGTGAACTAACAGGAACTAGTGGAATATCCACTGCTTAGAATAATGAAGCCGCTGATGTCAATTGTGCATTTCGTAATTGAGTAGATTTTTAATAAGTTCTTTCTGAAATACTTCCTCCCGAATGGTCATTTATTGTAGACATCAATTGTATGGCGTAGCAATTAGCCTTAGGTTTAGTGTTATTTTAGCTTAAGAATAATTAGGGCTAAGATTATGATCCCTACGTGGAACTGAGATTAGGTTACGTTGTTTGCGGCCGTAAGCATAGAGCTCGGTTGAGATATTTAACTATTAATGTTCACTCGAATTAAGTTATATTTATTTGATAATTATTGGTCTTTGCCGATTTCATAAGTTGCAATATACGTTTACTGTATAATGTCTTTTTCCTCCCTAGCTTCTCTGTAGTTTAGCTAGATCAGGAATTCTAAACTGATATAATAGTTACCGCTTTTGAGAGATTTCTGAGTCTGTCAAGGCATCACTAACGTAGCACTCCGCTTCAATGAAAACGGCAAGGGTGATAATTTATAAAAATATTTGCTGACCACCAATTTTCTTAAAGCGATGCGGTTATTTCAACTAGGTGCCAATAACTAACTAAGTACATTTGATTTTGACTTCGATATATTTCATCTAGTTAAAAAATGTAAGTATTGAAGGCCACATTACATGAGACCGAGATGAAATAAACGGTTTAACAAATTGGTATTCAACTTATATTTTCAGTTCTCATTATGGAAAACATTTATTAGGGTAAATACATGAAGGTTGAAATATTTACTATTTTGATTTTCTTAATTACCCGAATTCCGTCAATTAAAATCATCAACTTCTGAAAATTACATTACAAGGCAATAATGTGCTCAGATTAATCTGGTGAAAATTAACAGAAAATCCTATATTCTATTAAATATCAAGCATTAATTCATGGATAATTATAAGAACTAATTTTGGATCTGCTAAAATTAGGCTAGAAGCCTAGTTATTACTATCGATAGTACAATTAAATAAAAGTAAATGTATATATTCAATTTGAGTACACATTTTAAGAAACAGACCGCTCTAAAAAATTGTTTAAATATGCTAGCGAATTTCAGCCAATTTCATTTCACTTTATTGGTCTATTTCGCTATTTATTTCTGTTGCCGTCTAGGATACAGTCTGGATGGAAATTTGCTTCATAAAATCGGACCTATTTAAGGCAAGAAATGCAAAATTTGTATATTATTTTTTATTTATGCATCTTACATTTCATGAATATGTTTATATTTGTTCGTTAATCGCTATTTTGGTTGTTTCTTTATTAGTTTCCCTTAGAGACAAGTCGTTAAATAATATTCATGGTTTATTGGCTTGTTAAGGATTGGATTTTGGCCCGAGCATGTAAGTTTAGTGTGAATTTTGCGCCATCTCTTTAGCAGTACCTAATATTAGGTTGCTGAATTATTTTGAATTCGTATACCTTTTATAATATGCTTTTTTAAACGCTTAGTTTTAGCTTCAATCTAACCCTCATTACTGTAAATTTTAATTGTTTTTTTAATATTATTTTATTTTGCTCTAATTTTAACATTTCACATAAACTCATCGATCATCTTGCTTGTCCGTAAGTCAGACATCACGGGTTTAATTCCCCTTGTTTCACACTCAGTGAACGAGATGAGCAAACGCCTTAGTTTCCCCTCCAACAAGTCTATTTGAGTTCTTTCTACTTAATGTTATAGTTGGCGAGCGTGTTTATAAGTGAATCTTTTAATTAATTTTTGTATATCACCTTATCCACAAATTATTATTTATTTTTTCCACTTTATTTCACCCTTTCTATTTTTTCATACTCATGATTTTGCCGTCTATTTATTTCGTCGTTTTTATTAGCATTTCCCACTTTTTAGCGATTTTCGTAAAATATCTCAGTTACTTTGATGCGTCTTTTGATTAATCTTTTATTTATTTTGTCTCCCAGCGATAGCAGGCGAGTTTCACTTAAACTAAAACGTACGCCACTACTTAATTTGTTTGAGGGGAAGTTAATTGCGCATATAAGTTGAAAAAAGTACACTCATTTTTTCACCCCCCTCTCTCCACTTAAACGATTGATCGAATAAATTGATCTGAAAATAGTTCGGTGACCATATGATTTTCTTGTGACTTCTTTACGGTGTACTTTTGTCCACCATTTCTTTTTATATGATCCTCTGGAAGTTTAAACTTACTTTCACCAAATTTAGGTAGAGGTATTTGCCTCTTATCTCACATTTCACTTTCAACACAATCTAATTTCATTAGAGTATAGTAGTTCGACAACATTAGATATATAGTAATAGAAATTGCTTTATCTCGATCAATTTTTTTGATAAGTATGCTATTGTGATCGGCCGGGAGATTTTATGATTATATGGGAATGTGCGCCCATCGTACCGTTCAAGTAGACATTGTCTTAACTAACCTTGACAATCAGCTGTGCTGCATATGATTTTTATGCTTATACATGCGTGTAGGTAATTGTATAGGTAATAGTTGCAGATTGTTTGCAGTGTGTGTCCTGTTGTGATTTAGAAACACTTACACTTGCCCTTACTTCCTCCTACTAGGACTATTGGTGGATTTTTTTCGCCGGGTCAATACTCTATCTGATCTAATCCCACGTTGATATTCATCTAGCTCCAAATAGATATGCTACTTAATCCACTTGGTATATTATATTTGTTTCAGCCTTCGTGATCTATCTAACAATCACTAATACTATAAATGAATCCAGTGTCAGCGCACAATAGTAGTGAATTAAAGGCTACAACACCCTATTCCAATGTGCCAACTACTTCGTCTAGTTCCCAGGATTTAATAACAGCAGCAAGCCAACAACAACCACAACAGCCAAGAACATCTTACACCGGTACACCAACCGCTTCATCAGCTAGCTCTTTTACCCCCCTTGCCAATGTGGATGCTACTGCAATAGGCAGCAGAGGCAATGGCTCAGACTTTAGCGAATACTTTAATCACTTTAATGGCCTCCACACCAATATCAACACCTCCTCCTCCTTTTCCTCCTCTTTAATGTTGGATGGCGATCATTATAGCAGTGCAGCTCGTCTCCCCATGAGTAGTGGAATATCCGTAGTACCACCAGGGGCGCCTCATATGCCCACCGCTTATGTGAATTCCTCCCACTTCCCCACGCATGGATTAACTAGCAAGTTGCCCGAATTACAGTTTCCTAATGCTGGAACTACTGGGGTTGGCCATCCACAGTCTGGTATGCCACCTGGATCCATGGAGATGGCCTACTCGGCGCCACACATGATGGGCGTTTTGGCCTCATCACCGCACGCTAGTATTATCTCTCCGGCCTATTCGCCTTGTTCAGTCACTACACAGGGTAGTGGTGGTGGTGCTGGTCCTGGTAGTGGAAATAATAAAAGGTCGCTTGGTGCTTGTGCAAATGTTTCTATTGATGCGGACAATAAACCTGGAGCTTTCAAGGCACGCTCGAAAAAGGAGAGTCACAATCGAAGTGCGTTTTCCCCTTTTCTCATTTATTCATCTATTGCTGCCTTTTTATCATGTACATATCCTAGGTGTCTTATTTTCGCTTTAAAATTGTTTATTTTAATGGTCATACTTTATGAGTCTTCTAATATTGATTAATTTGTTTCGCGTTATTAGGGGTTTTGATCAACTTCCCTCTGTATGCACTTTTAACTGCTTAATTAGTTGAGATATACACTTTCCTCAAAGTACACTCTTTACGGGACATGACGGAATAACATTTGAAATCCTACCCCCTCCCTCCCCTTATTTAACGCGAAAGTGCTGGAGGTTGTCTTGTTTTTGGCCCCTGGACTACTTTGTGTTTTTAATCTCCATTGGCTGGAGAGTGTGCTTGCGTGTACCACTGGTCTAGTCTAGACACGTAGCTTGGTGTTTGCGATCGTGTCTTGAGAGATTGGTTGGCAATGCAAAAACCGAAAACATCTCCAGTGTTAGGATAGAACGAGAATTCGCGGTTCACAAACAGCCTTTGTCGCTTGTTGTTGTTGTGGTGTCTGCGCGCATTTTCCTCACACACACATTCGGCTGCATACCTGCGTTTTTTTGCGGGCTTAGTTTCCAAAGTCTGAGGCGTTCTAAGGACATCTCTCAAAGTCTCTCATTGCTTGTTTTGTTCGTTTAATTAAAATAATTGATCAGTTAAACCCCTCTTCAAACATGCCATCAGGACAAGCATAGGGGTAAATTTGCGTATTACATTTGGGTGAATGTCAATTCTGATAATTTTGCGTAGGCATCAGTAAATAATGCATAGGCAATGCTAAAAGATATCTCATTAGATACGGACATGTTGAATGAATGAGTAAGAAAAGTGTACAAGGATGATGGAAAGCCGCTCATCTTGGTACGATGGCCATTCCACTCTTCCACATCATGGGACCTGGATTTGAGTAATTCTCATCATGTCTACCTTCCTATTAATTAATTAATTCCCCTCCCATGTTGGTCATCGGTCTAGTTAGTGTCATCTTGCTACCTTCTCCCCCATTCCACTTCCTCTATAGCCGCGGTCTTGAAAGCTTTTATGGTTTGTTCCTCCTCTCCCTCCCCCCCCCTCCCTCCCCCC